AGCTATCAACAGTGCATCCATGATTTGTCTTCCTTGGATTAAAGCCATTTGTCGGGAATCCACAAGTTTAGCCATTACCCCTTTCATTCTCTCTGTTAGAACTTTAGCAAAAAGCTTGTAGATGCTACCTATTAAGCTGATGGGCTGAAATCTCTCAATTCCTTAGCACCCTTCTTCTTTGGGATGAGAGTAATAAATGTTGCATTCAAACACTTCCTGCTCATAGAAGTTTTGGAAAGCTTTCATGGATGTCCTCCTTTACGACCTCCCAACATTTAAAAAGAAAACCATGGTGAATCCATTAAGCCCAGGTGCTTTATCAATTGCACACATTTTCAGACATTTTAGGACTTCACTCTCCTCAAAGTTCCTTTGCAGATTCTCCTTTTCCTCCTCTGTTAACCCAGGGCAATTAGCATCAGTATAGGCAGGTCTCCAGTTAGTAGTCTCAGTATATAGCTTCTTGTAGAAGTCTACTATCTCTCCTTCAATTCTTGCAGGATCTTGGGTTAGTTCTCCTTGGATTACTAGTTCATCAATGTTGTTGTACCTCTTGTGTGCATTGGCCATTTTGTGGAAGAACTTAGTGTTCTTGTCCCCCTCTTTTAACCACAGAGATCTTGATTTTTGTCTCCATGAAATTTCTTAATATTTGAGCAATTCCTCAAACTCCAGTAATCTAGAATTCTTCCTTGTTACCTCATACTCTGTTAGTGCTCTACCCTTACTAACTTCGTCAAAAACAACCAGCTCTTTGAGTAAGTTCATCCTTTTAGCTCCCAGGTTTGCTTGATCACTCCTGCTCCAAACCTTAAGCTTTTCTTTTAATGCCTTAAGTTTTGAAGCAAGTATGAAATCCGGTCTCCCAGAGAAGCTGAAAGTGTCCCACCATTCTTTGATTCTGTTTGTGAACCCTTCTGTGTCTAACCACTAGTTTTCAAACTTGAAATAATTTTTGTTTTGGTTCCACACTCCCCAGCCATGCAATAGGAGTGTGGTTTGATCCGAGCCTTTGTAAAGCTATCTGTTTGATATTGTTGAAGCTTTCATTCTGATATCAGAATCCTATCAATTCTGGAGGCAATGTCTTGATTGTCTCCTTTGAACCAAGTATACTGGCCATCCTCTAGTTGAATGTCAAGCAACTTCAGATCGTCTATGAAATCTGAAAATTCTCTCATGTCTTTTGTTCTTCTCAAACAGTTTCTCTTCTCTGAGATGAACCTCACCATGTTGAAATCTCCACACGCAGCCCAAGGCCCGTCTATTAAACCCCTTATCGCCCCTATTTCCTCCAAGTCAAGCCTTCTTTCTACATAACATTTGGGGGGATAAACCCCTGTAATGTGACAATGGAAGTTTTGAAGTTGAGCTTCAAATTTGCAAGTTATAGTGTAGTTTCTTGCAAACAAATGACGTCTGCATTCCACCCCCCCCAATAACACTTTTGACTAATCTTCTCTTATCCTTATTATTCAGTTCCCTTACATTCCATGAAACCAATTTAAAACTTAATCTATCACTAATGAGCAAGTTTCTCCCCATACCCCTGTTTCCACTATTATTAAATTTCACATCAAAGCTTACTAGACTTTCTAACTCTTGAGAACCTCTGCATCTTGTTTTCTTGCATACAGCCTCCACTTCCATTCTTCTGGCTTGTCTTGAAATGTCTACTTGGAACTAATAACTCCAAAGCCTCCTCTTCATGGCCCTGGAAATCAACACACAAAACTTTACCTAGTTTGATCAAGTTTTGTTGTACCCAGTTTGAAGTCTCCCTCTCTTTATTCCTTTTTTCTTCTTGCTGTTGAATTTGCAGCGGTTCTGGTTCCTCAATCTCCCAGTCCTTCATGAGAGTGATTGAACCATTATCCTCCTTTTCTGAAATCTCCCCCCTTAGTTCATTATGATCTATCTCTATTAATTGGCGTTAAGATTCGATAATTGATATCCCGATTATGTTTACCATCTCCTCCGCATGGGCAATTTGATTCAAGTTCTGTGTGGCTGTTCTTTCTGTTTCTTGATTGTATTGCAGCACTGGGAGTTCTGGAAAATTACCACTGTTAAAGTGGTATTGGGCTTTTACAAGTTATGTCATTAAAAATGACTTGACTTGAAAAGTCAGGCCATTCTTGTAAAGTTTCCTCTTTCTATTGGGCTGCTGATGGCCCAAAGCTGCTCCCTCAATTAAATGAGATGTGTGCCCCTGTCCCCCCCCTCTCTTCCTTTTACAGCTGTATGCAAAATCCCTAAACTGATGGGATTGTACTTTTCCACCGGCTTTACTACTGACTTTACCACAACTTTTACCACCTTACTGCTGTGTAAAGGCATGTACTCGGTATTTATGTACTCTATCTTCTCCGGTGACTCTATTTTCAGTTTGCAAAGATTCCGATTGTAACTCTACTCTGAGTTGGCACTCAACCCATATTGGAAAGTGGAATATTACTCCATTTCTGGAGATTGAAACTTCTTTGGGAATGTTTCTTCCATCATTTGCAACTAGAATTCTTGCCCACTTCATATGATTTCTTAGTTCTGTTTCCTCCTCTGTGGCCACCCAACCTCCGTATAAGTTTCCACTTTCTTGAAATACTCTCTCTGACCAGAGATGAAGGGGGATTCCAACAATTCTGATCCATGTTTCCTTCTTCAGAGTATTATTGGGGAGACAATCCACCATCGGATTCCACCATTCTAGATTGAATCTGTGATTCTTCCAGTTCCACTGCCCTTGGAGGGTTTGTTCTGCCATGTTTATGTTAGGGAACTCGAACAGAAACATACCTCCATACATTTCATAGATGTTAACTCCAAATGCCTTTTTCCGGAGTGTTGACGACCATCTTCTTATCTCAAGCAAAGTTGGCTTTTCCTTCATCTGTCCTTCCAGATGACCTACTAGGCATCTTTCTAGAAGCCCATTCTCTTGGTCTTCAGCATGTGTGAGGACTTCAATAATGCTAGCATTGTTCGTAATCTCTGCCTCCTTTATAGTCTCTGATTGCCATTTACTATCCTTAACTGCTTTTGCATAAGGGTAGTTGACTTTGGTTATTCTAGGAGGTCCTGGGACTTCCATTCTTTTAGAGCATTTAATGAACCTTTCAATTTTAAATGCTATATCATGCCATCCCGCATTCAAGGCTAATTCTGGGATGACCAGTATGGACCTACCCCCATTATTGATGGAAATGATACTTATAAATCTTCCATGCTCATTATGTTTCCTAGTACAGAAATGCTCCGCCTCTCTTTCTGCAGTTTTCCATCTTCTGATCGCTGGAAGCTTCTCTGAGAGTGAAACAGATCCATTCCATGGTTTTGCTGCTCATGGAAGATCTCATCATCTTTCTACTCCTCTCAACCCATTCGAACCACACAGAGCTGCCAGTGCTCCATTTAGTGATGTTGAAAGACTTAAAATTCCGCATTGAAATAAATCCTATTGTCACCCATTGCAAAGTCTGAAAGAAATATCTGAATCTCGAAAAACTATCACGTAAGGTAATAGTTAAGAAAGGTAATGAAAGGGAAGGAATGGAAATGAAGGTTCCGGCGAGAGAGTGCCGGAAAGAGAGACCCTCCCCCCCTAGGAAGTAGGGGAGAGAGTTACCTCGGGACAGGTGCCTGGGAATATTTGTAATTACGTTCCTTAATTTATCATATAAGTAGAGCCCGTTAATAATTGTCACATATTTGCATTTTTGGCTCTTTGGTATGAAATGTTGTATATATTCGAGAATTTGTGGACTAAAAATGACCTAAAAGAAGATAGGAATGAGAACATGCTTTCTTCTTTTTTGTTTTTTCCTTTCACGTGAAATTTTGATAACCCTTGTGGTAGAATTTGCTTATCCAATCTAAAACTTTAAGGCAATGGGTGGATTGGCCATGTCCATTTGAACTCCACTGGAGACCTTACACAACTGATGAGAGACAAGTCTAGCATTCTCCAACACCCTTCGACTCATGTAACCCAGTTCTAGGGTTTACAGGTGGATTTGATTTGATCTTTTTTTGCCTTTTTGTTGTTGTTTTGTTTGAAGTAGAGAAAGAGGAGGCTCAACAAAATTGGGTCTGACGTAAAGGGAGATAGATTAGGTTCAATAGGCTACTGATTGAACTTACATGCTACAACAATGTTGGTGGCTCAATAGGCTTAATTGAGAGAGAGACGAGCCTAGAGCAGTTCCACAAGTTGATTTGATAAAGAGAAGCCTAGAGCGATATAACATGAAGAGAGAAAGTAGTTAGGCTAACGATTTCACCAAAGTTTGGCTCTAGTACCATGTAAACAAATTTAAGTATCTAACCCAAAACCTTAAAGCAAAGGATGGAGTAGCCCAGGACCATTTAAACTACTTTGGAAACCCTTACAAACCAATACGGTAACTTTCTCTAACAAGCCTATCTTCTTATAAGTCGGTGCTTATAACTTGACTATGGCTTGTTCCACTAATTTAGCTTAAATCAAAGAAGTGATCTATGAAGAAATCCATAGGAAGCCTCTGCTGAAGTAAATAACTGACAAATATAAGGAACATTAATTCTCCCAAATATCCGGAATGTTCCCGAAACACAATAAATTAGTCTCAGGACTTATCATTAACATATTTCTCTCTTATTTTGGGTGATTTGGAAGGTCAATCAAGGTATAATTTTTTATTTTTTCGAAGTGGTTAAAACTTCAGCTGAACATATAACTCTTTCTAAGTACTTATTCAGAATTATTTATCTAATGAATTATCAGATCACTGGTGAACAAAACAGGAAAATATTTTGGCTACAGCATTACCATACCTTTCTAGAGGGAGATGAGCATTTTTTCCTTTTATTATTGTCCCTGGGGGTTCTGCAGGCTTCTTCTCTGTGATATCACCTTAGACTCACATTTCTGTCATTGGTATTACTTACTGTGGTAAGTTCAAATGTGTTTTGAACTCTTTTTTGGCACGTACAATTGTGTTAATTGTTCGTCTCCGTTTCAGAATTGCCGCTTTATCTTCTGCTGGGCATCTTTTGCGGGTTAGTTTCAGTGGCATTATCAAGCTGTACATCATTTATGCTGCAAATAGTGGAAAATATCCAAACAGCCAGCGGCGTGCCAAAATCAGCTTTCCCTGTGCTGGGTGGTCTTCTGGTTGGGCTGGTAGCTTTAGCATATCCTGAAATCCTTTACTGGGGTTTTGAGAATGTTGATATTTTGCTAGAATCTCGGCCACTAGTGAAAGGCCTCTCTGCTGATCTGTTGCTCCAGCTTGTAGCTGTCAAAATAGTAACAACCTCATTATGCCGAGCTTCTGGATTGGTTGGAGGCTACTATGCTCCATCTCTATTTATTGGTGCTGCTACTGGAACTGCATATGGGAAAATTGTTAGCTACATTATCTCTCATGCTGATCCAATCTTTCATCTCTCCATCTTGGAAGTTGCATCCCCACAAGCATATGGTCTGGTATGAATTTGCCTTTTGTTCGAAGTAGTACTACATGTCTGGATAAGTGAGTGTTTATTATTGAAAAGTAATAAGAGAAGTGCAAGGGAATCTAGCATCCAATTCTACTTATTTCCCTCGTCCATCTTTTCTTCTGAAATTCGAGGTCACTTTATCTCTACCTTGCATCACCATCTCGAACATATTTTATACCTCTCAGAGTTATTGGAAACTGTCCTGAATTTACCTTGCCGGAAGTGTCTCATATTTCACCGATCACCCCCCACCTAGCGCGCCTGCATTCCTTACCATTACATCCACAATTACACCCCCATTCTTTCATACCCACCTAGATGATGGCAGTTCAACTCAGGTGTTTCATCCCCCTTACATTCCATGATATGATCTTGCTATAGATTCATGATTCAAGAGGATGCTCAAAAGGTAGATGACCATGTGAGCCTTTTGATATGACTCAATACAAAGTTAATGTTCAAAAAGTATTTGAACGACAACATTGCATAAAATTCCAAGAAAACATCCATTTGAAACAAGATTCAATGGGTTCATCTCCAATCAGGAAAGCATCTAAAATCTATCGCCCTTGAATTAATACATTGAATCTGAATTAGAGCACTCTGGAAAAAAAAATTCTAATGTTACCAACTAGAGTAATTAATTTGAACTGCCTTCTTATCAGAATAATGTATGAAGAGTTTAAGTTCTACCAAAGGTGGCAGAAGGGGCGTAAAATTACATTGTATATATAGGTCAAAATTTGGTTTAATAAATATATATACAAGTGTTGACACCTTTTGATACAAGTTGAAGGTTTAGTGTAGTGGTTAAGGGGTTGCAAAAATTGCTTGAGGTTGTGTGTTCTATCCCTGATAACAGGGCTTATACATATTTACTTTATATTTTGACACCCCTTGATAAAAAATTTGGCTCCGCCAGTGGGTGTCAGAACCTTAAGTCACTTCACCATAATATCTTTTTCAAATAGTACTCTAGCATCCATAGAAGAATGCCGCCATAAAGCCATCTGAACCCAGTGGTTTATCATTTATTTCCACAAGATTTAAGTACATAGGAACTAGATGGTTTAAAGTTGTTGTGGATTAAGGTTATGTTATCTTTCTCCTCTCTTGGGTTTGTCAAACTGGGAAATTCTTGACTCTTATCACTTATAAAATGAACATGAGTAATAATAGCTAGGAATCATCTGTAAAGGACAGCCGTAGAGGTCAGCTTGTTTAGAAAAGTTTTGGTATGTGTTTGAGGTGAGCTCAATATGATATGCTACCTACATGGGCATGCTCAACACCCATCAACATTCTTCTGTCATGTTATTCTTTTTCATGTTCTGGTTGGAAGATCATTTACATACTCACGCCAGTCTTATCCTACTATTACACCTCAGATTTTTCAGTTTATGATGGAAATTGTGAGTAAATGAGCAAGGGTGGAGCTAAGTTGGGGCAAGGATGGTCAATCGAATACCCCTTGTCAGAAAATTGCACTCTATATATATTTATTTTTTAATTTTTTTTTTCTGGTCTTAATCACAATATTTGTGTAGTTAGGAGGAAAAAAAATACTTTATTCTCTCTCTGGCACAGTTCCCGAGGGAGGGAAAGAAACTCTTTTACGGTGATCTTCTGTCGCCATGGGAGAGAGCAGAATCTATTTCGCAGTAGGGTTCAAGTCATACGACATAACAAAGATCACATTGAGGTCAGATATTTGGTTTGATTAGGTGGAAAGAAGCAGGAAATTGATGCGCAGGCTTACTTTCAACAGGAAGACCATGGAATGGATCGTTTTTGCTCTACGTGAAGCTTCAACGGACAACGGTACACATACGAGAAGATGGAAGATGAATGAACAGTTTGCCGATTTCTTTTGCTCCAGAAAACATAACAGATTTGGTAGATTCATTAGTATAGTAACAGTACAAGGGGGGAAGAGATCTGTTATTATACTACCTGAGTATGCATTAAATACGGGGTGGGGAGACATAGCATTAAAGATAGTAAACTTCATTAAAGATACAAAAGGTCCTTCTTTTACGGACAAGCCTAGAATGGCAGATCCAAAAATCCTATATGCTGATACGGTCAGAACCAGCAAGTGGCAGTCCAAGGAAGCATCGGAAGCTGTCATAAATCGCAACAAGAAAGCCATCTCTATCACGGATGGAAACACTGGGCAGGAGAAGGGTCTACTTGCAAGATGCATTGTTGGAAGGCTCAATACAGATCTGAAGGAGCTTCCCACACTCTCAGATATCAGAAAATGGGCGGTCAACACCGGGAAGAAGTCTTTTGGGGTCAACATCTACGAGATGGGGGGATGCACCTTTCTATTTGAATTCCCAAACAGGAACATGGCGGAGCACATTATCCTTGGAGAATGGGCATGGAGACATTCAAAGATGCACTTGGAATGGTGGTCTCCTATGGCTGGATGTTGCACAAGTCGCGGAACTTCGACATGGATAAGGGCTGTGGGGCTTCCACTTCACTTATGGACGGAAAAAATATTCAAGGCCATTGGAGATCAGTGTGGAGGTTGGCTGGAAACAGAGGAAGAGACTTCTCTGAAGAATCACCTAAAATGGGCAAGATTGAAGATTAAGGGTGATGGGGGAACAGTTCCAAAAGAAGTAAAGATTGTGGATAAGGATCTAGCTTACTTTATTCCGATCTGGCCGGAAGTCCAACCAAGAGTGGTCTTGCAGGAGACGAAGAAGACGACGGACAAGGACCATTGGATAATAGATGGGAAAGGGGAAAAAATCAGTGATTTTATCGCTGATAAGGAGCAGGCTGAACACGTGGGATTTAGGTCAAAATTAACAGCTGGCGTGGGCCATGGGCCTTGTGACGCAAAAAAGAAATCTTCTGCTAAGTGGACTGGACCAGGCTTGAGTCTTCTGATTCCTACAGGCCCAATTCCTGGAGCTTAAAAAATCAGAAGACACAGATAAAACGAAGGCAGACCCCATGCTAGTCGAGATTGAAACAAATTCTACAGACTCAACCTTTTTCGACAGCGAGAATGGCGATCTGAATGCAAATTCATCCACAGAATCTCAACCAAAATATATAGCGGAACTCACAAGAGTGGAAGAGGAAGAGGATTATGTTGATGCAGTAACAATTATTGAAGAAGAAAAAGATTCGGAGTTTGATATTTTATGCTCCAATATGCAACTGGTGAATTGCAATGAGGAAGATTTCTGCAACTGTGAAGAAGCAGAGCCACTTAACTTTCAATCTGTTGAAGAAGAAAGTGACAGGGAGATGGATGTATCACTGTGGGTTCATCAAAACATAATCAAGTTGAGCAAAGAGTTCGGGGTTGAGTTTGAGGGATGCAGAAAGGAAGCCTTAGCACTCTTCAAGAAGATAGACAAAAGAAGACATTCAAGGAATATAGAAACAGAGCGGAAAACAGGGGAAAGCACCAAAGTCAAAGGCATACAGGAGCTCAAAGGTTTAATGATAGATATGAAATTCCAAAGCAAAGGCACAAGAAATAGGGGGAGGGGAAAGGCTCTAGATATATGATGAATGTCTCCATAATTTAATGGAATGTGAGGGGTTTAAATTGTAGGGATAAAAGGAGGATGATAAATAGTGTGATTCAAGAATGGAGAGCGGATGTGATCTGCTTACATGAGACAAAGCTTGAAGGAAATAGTGGGGAGGAAATTAAACAAGTGTGGGGAAAAAGAGGGGTTAAATATGGGGAATTGCAGGCTAGTGGCACTAGGGGAGGCATATTAATGATGTGGGACAACAATGTTTGGGAAGGGGAAGTAGTGGAGATAGGCTCACACACCTTGACTTGCAGTTTTAAATCAAGGGTAAATGGTTTCACTTGGCACATGACAGGGGTATATGCACCAACCTGCAACTTAGAAAGACAGGAGGTGTGGTGGGAGATAGGGGCTATCAGGAGTTTATTTGCAGGGCCTTGGGTTCTTGGGGGTGATTTCAATATTGTTAGATATGCTTCAAAAAAGAGGAACTGCTCCAGAACCTCTGTGTATATGAATGATTTTTCTGATGTTATTGAGGACATGGAGCTAATTGATCCACCACTTGAAGGGGGGAACTACACGTGGGCCAGGGGATCCAACCTGGAAGCTGTTTCGAGGATAGACAGAATTATGTACTCCTCTGAATGGGGGGAGAGTTTTTGCAATGTGAAGCAAGAACTACTACCTCGAGTTTGTTCTTACCATGCACCAATTGCACTTAAAAGTGGCCGTTGGAGTCATACAAAATCATATTTCAAATTTGAAGTATGGTGGTTGGAGACCGAGGGTTTTAATGAAAGAATTAAAGATTGGTGGACATCTTTTGAATTTGAAGGGAAGCCTGATTTCATCTTAGCTTCCAAGCTGAAAGCTATGAAGACTAAACTGAAAGACTGGAGTGTAAGCACTTATGGGAACCTGGAAAAAAGAAAG